CGCGACGCAGGTGCGCGCCATTGGGCGCCTCCTGGACGTGCCGGAGCCATTCATCAAGCGCCACCCCTTCCCGGGCCCCGGCATGGGCGTCAGGATCCTGGTGGGTGCCCCGGGACAGCTGCTTATGAGTAGCGTTTCCAGACGGCATGTGACTACACACGCGCGCGCACACACACACACACACACACACACACACACAAACATGTACACACAGCATGTACATCACGGCACACCCGCACTTGCGTATGCTGGCCAGCTGGTATTGTCTTCTCTTCACCCTGGCCTCCCATTGACATCCCCTCCGCCGCTCCGCCCAGGGTGACGTCACCGCGGACGACCGCCTGGAAGTGCTGCGGGCGGTCGATGAGATCTTCATCGACACCATCAGGGAGTTTGGGCTCTACGACCAGATCTGGCAGGTGGGTACGCCAGCCGGTCCTGCAGCGGCCTGCCCGGGAAATTAGATCTTCAAGCAAGTGCACGGTATTAACCGGCCCATAATGTTGTCAATTGTCAGGCCCATGTTGTTGATTGTTAGGATCAATCAATTGGGATTTCGGCCACACATAACCGATCCTTTCCGCATCTTGCAGATTGCGAGCGCGCACACCCTCATCCATGTCCACACAGGCATGTGTTGGCAAGAACATTAGGAGGACCGTATGGATGTGCCGAAGCGCGCGCGCACACACACACACACAACTTGCCGGCACATACGCACACACACACACACACACATACATGCGAACCCCCCCCCCCCCCCGAATCCTCCGCGCGCCGCAGGCGTTTGCGGTCTTCCTGCCGATCAAGTCTGTGGGCGTGCAGGGCGACCAGCGCACGCACTCGCACGTGGTGGGCCTGCGCGCCGTCACCAGCGGGGACGGCATGACGGCGGACTGGTACCCCTTCAGCCCCGAGTTCCTGCGCACAGTCAGCTCCCGCATCTGCAACAAGGTGGGGCGGGGGGCGGGGTTGGTACAGTGGTGCGTCTGATGCTCTGTGCGTGTATGTGTGTGTGTGTGTGTGTGTGTGCGTGTGTGTGTGTGTGTGCGCGCGCGCGCATGTGCATGTGCATGTGCATGCGCTGCAGGGTGCGAGTGCACAGAAGGAACCTGTTTCTGCACTAGACGGGTGGTGGGGTTTCCTTAGCACTGTCACCAGGCTTCGTATCAACGCAACGCGCGTGGCTGGCCAACGTTGCTGCTCGCGCACGCCCCCTTTGCAAGCGCAAACGCACGAGCGCGCACACACACAAACACACACACGCACACACATTCACGCGCTCTTTATTGCAACTGCGACCCAGGTGCGGTCTGTGAACCGCGTGGTATACGACATCACCTCCAAGCCCCCAGGGACCATCGAGTGGGAGTAAATCCCACGCAGGAAGAGGGGCATTCAACCAATTGTTGCTGCACATCATCGCCAATTTTCACCGCAGCTGCCTGAATGGCTGGCGCATTGCGACGCGCTGGGCGTGCGGCGCTGCTGGGCTGCTGCTCTGCCTGGTGTCAAGCTGCAGAAGCGTGTTGTTACTTGCGAAAACGCGGCGCTCATTGGCATGTTGTGTGTGCGTGTGGCGCCAAAAAGCTCTTGGCGATGTGATGTGCTGCCCGCCAAAACAAAAAGTGGCGCTGCTCGGCAACTGTAATTGGTGGCGCCCACCTGCATCTCTGCGGTCTGACAAATCAGCAACACCTAGGGGCAAATGCTGCCTGGGCCAAGCACATTGAAAGGCGCTGGCCACGCGGCGGGCAGGTGAGGGAGGGGTAGGGAGCGGCGATGTGTTCCCAGCCATCAAGACGGGTACGCACGGCGCGCGGCCGATGCTGCGCCTGCCGGCGGCACGGAGTATCGAGGGTGATGTGTGGCGAAAAAGGGTCAGCCAACGAGACTCTTGAAACCAACACGAACTTGATCCTGTTGTGGCGCCTGTGGTGTGGGCCCGGTGCCCTGCCCTGCGTGACGCAGAAGCTGCCAAGTAGCTACCAATGCGACTCATCAAGAAACTACACAAGCAGGTGTGTTCGTGTGCGAGAAGTGTACGGACTGCACTAACAAGAGTGTACTGGGCTAATCAAAAGTGCACTAGCCTGATCAAGCCTGGACTGGGATTGTAAGTATGGACTGGGCTGGATTGCGCAAAGAGCACAACATCAAACCACAACGTCAAGCCTCGAGCGCTCAGCACTGCCTGGGGTTATCTTCGGTTCCGCCGGCAGAGGGTGGCCGTACGAGGCCAGAGTGCGTTGCCAAGGGGAGGGGAGGGGGGGCGTGCCAGCAAAATCACGTGTGTGGCGGCTCTGCCACACCATCATCGTGCAAGAGGGGGCCTGCTCCCTCGCACTGGGTGGCAACACAAACTGGGGCGGGCTGATCCAAGGAGCAACGGGCATCCGGGTGGTGCGGGTGGCTGCGGCAGCGCAGCGCCGCCGCCACGCCCTTGGCCAAACCAAATGGCCCAAGCGCTGGCGGCTTTGGCAAAGGGTGGCGCGCGCGCCCAGTTGCATTGAGGGTTTGTGAGGTGTGTACGTGTACTGTGTGTATTTATGTGCGGTACGCCTATCTGTCATTGCATCGGGCATCGCATGGGAATTCTGGTCAGACATGGATGCGGCGCCGGCAAAAGCTCCCAAGGCGGCTGGGCGCCGCACTCAGGATTTTGGCGCACGACTCAACAGGCCGGCGACGGGTGGAGGTCAACGAGCCTGTACAATCAACCACTATGCCGCAGCCTTCGGCATGCTGCTCGCCGCGGCAGCGGCGGCAGCGCAGTGGGCAGTGCGACCGGATTTGACCGCTTTGGCCGAGAGAAAAGGTGTGTGGTGCGTGTGCACCCAAACTTGACATGCCGTCGCGGGGCTGACTGGGTACAAGTGTTGCAGCCAGTGTAATTGTGTGCGCGGTCCTGTGTGGGACGAAGCAGTGTGAGAGGGCATGCGGGCTGCGGCGGTCGCGTGACGAGCCGTGTGCATGTGTGGAGTTTTCTGGTTTCATACCTGAGAGCTTGCGGTACAGCGGGACCCCATCGGCCCTATGCCAAGCCAGCAACCAGCCGCCCGGCGAAGCGCCAGCGTCGGCCAGCCAGCGCCCGGCACGCCTTGGAGGACTGCACACCGGCTGGTTGCCAGCCCGCCAAGCCGGCGCATGTGACCTGCGAAGGCCCGGCACCACGCCCGACAAAGCTGAGACAAAGCGACCACCGCCAACGAAGGGAAGGCGGCGCGGCGGGGTGACAAGGGCGCCTGGTAATACACAGCCCTGCGCTTCAGAGGTGCCACCCTCGGCCTGCAGCTGGGCAGGCAACAGAGGTGTGTGTGCAGAGCGGCGCCATGCGAGGCTGACAGCCTGCAGCAGAACGCGTGCATTTGGGGCCAAAAAACATGATGTGGGTAATAGGACAGAGGAGCTGAGAGAATTGTGTGTGTGTATGTGCGTGGAGAGAAAGGGACTGAGACGGTCTGCCAAGAGGGGACGCTGAGCGCGTGCCCCGCGCGGCCCCGCCAGCGCCAGCGCCGACGTGAGGGCGCGGCGGGACGCGCCGAGACGAATGCGCCGCGCACGGCTGCGCGGAATGAGATGGCCTGGGACCGATGGCGAGAGCGCCGCGGCGCGCTCACGTCGAGAGAAGCAGTGCATGGGGGGCCGCGGCGGCGGCCGCCGCGGCAGCGGCGCAGGCGGGCCGGACGAAACGTGGCGGCCACGCTGGTGCCCGTCAGTGGGTCGGTGCAGCGGCCAAGCCAGAGCACGTCGCGCACGCGAGCTGGAATCAGGTTTCTATTGGCAGGACAGAGGCGCAGCGGAGCGCCGAGGCTGAGGGGCCCGGGCGCGGCAACGAGAAAGTGGACGGAAGCTGGCCGCCCGATGTGCGAAAAACGGCCCCTCCGAGGGCGTTCGGCGCGAGAGGTGCCGTACGCGTGAGAGAGGGGCCTGCACGCCTGGGCGAAAAAGCCTACGCAGAGCGGGTGCGGGCGGGGCAGGCGGCCGCCAGCAGCCGGCGGGCGGCCGCGCCGCGACAAGCCCCCGCATGCCCTCTGCCTGGCGGCGACGAAAGGGCGCCGCCGCGTCGTGAGTGAGAATGCGTCCTGAAAAAGGTATCAAACTGGGACGGCCTGGCGCCTGGGCGAATATGTAGTGAAGCTGTGCTCTGAAAAGGGGCGGGGGGGCCGCGGCCCAACGGGGACAGCCGGGATCGGTCCCAGGCAGGGGGTCAAGCGGCTGCCCCGCCCCCGTCAACATCAAACGTCAAAGAAAGCGCCTCTCCGGGTCGTGCGCTGCCCCGGCGCCGGGCGCAGGCCGGCCCGAGCAGCTACTGGGCGAAGATGACAACAGAAGGCGTACGTGGAGGTCATGCGGGGTTGGCGGCGGCTCCCTCTTGTGTGGCCCACACCCAAGCAGGGGCTTGCGGCCCCCAGGAGACGAAACAAAGCGCGGCGCCGGCGTGCCAGGTGCCGAGCATCGCAGGCCAGCCAAGCTGGCCTGCTGCGTCGGGGCTTGAAGCGCGCGCAGAGGGTCAAGCAACGATCAACGCTTTGAAAGGCGTGGGGTCCTCAAAGACCCAACGCAGCCACGCATCATCGCAGACGAGGCCCCGCCCCGCCCCGCGCCGCCGCGCCGCGGCCGTTTGCAGGCGGTGGCGCCACCCGGCTCCCGCGCGTGCGCCAACGCGGTGCTGTACGCGCTGTGCGCACACGCCGGCGGCTGCCAGGCAGGCTCTAGACGGGGCGGCCATGCGGCAAAGGAGGGTCCTAAAATCCTCGTCCTGGTGGAATCAGCGCGCCGATGACTGCCCAAGCCCAGGTCATGCTTGCAGCTGGCGGGCGTCTCGCAGGCGGGCTCAAGCGTCGGGATGAGGCCCCGGAATGCCACAGATCGCGTGCGCGTCGCCTTGCCAAGTCAAGCGCGCACGGGCATGCGTTCGTGCGTGCGCGCGTGCGTCCCGCGAGCTCTTGCCTCCGGCGCGCTGCGTCAGAGGCCGGCCTCCAACCAGGCATTGTGCACGTAGACGAGCGTCTCCACCATGCGGTAGCGCAGTTGCGGCCCCGCGGCGTGGAATGCCGCTTGGCACCTATGAGGGTAGGGTAGGGTAAGGGAGGGGTTGGGGGGGCCGCGCGGGCCAGTGCCGAGGGGGCTGCGCAGCCGCTGCCACGGCCGCGCGCGAGGCAGGACGTGGCGAGGGGCCGCACGCGGGCGGGTGGGCGGGCCGGCACGCACCGTTTGCAGAAGGGCACGTCTGCGTCTCCGATGGCACGCTCGTGGGCCGTCAGCCCCCCGCAGCCGCGGCACTTGCGGAACCAGCCGCCGCTGGGCATGTGCACGCCGTGCACGGTTGCCGGTTGGCCGCACGCGTCGCAACCACGGCCGCCGCAGCAGCCGTGGGGCGCGGCGCCGTCGCTGGCAGCAGCCATGGCGGGAGGGCCAGAGGTGCCGCTGCTCTCAGCATCTGAGTGGCTGGTCGCATCAGCGGCGGCGCTGCCGTACCCGCCCTGCTCCGGCCCGCCCGGCCCCGGCGCCCGGCGCCAACCCTCGGCGGCGTGTTTGACATGCGCCTCCTGGACGTCTACGTCCGGCGCCCAGCAAAAGTCGGGGATGGAGAGGGCTAGCTCGCAGCTTGAGGCCGAGGCAGCGCTTGCAGACGGCGACATGGCCGGCTGGTCCAGGGAGTTGAGGGAGCTGCGGCCCCTCGGCTGGGACGTCGCGCTGGGCGTCTGGGTGTCGTGCGCCACCATCGTTGTGGGATGTCACCAGGGGCCCTGTGTTCGCGCGAGAAGGGTGTGAACATAGTTCGTTCGTGCGGGTCTTCACAAGGTGCTCCTCAGGTAGGGCCAGCTGAGGCGTGTGCCGGGCGTATACCCTCGAGAAACGCAATCGCTGCCTCCTCACCGGCGAGAATGCTGCTCTGGATCCACGGCGACAGAGATGTGCGACCGCAGAGAGACCACGCGGTGCCCCAGGCCGACGGCGAGTTGAAATCTATCAGATGCTTTGCGAAGGCTGAAGTTGAGCAGCGGCCAAACGTGCAAGCTCTGAAGCCTGATTATCAGGAGGATTATCAGCGTCCTTTCGGCCCGAAGCTCTGCAGTGCGGCTATCGATCATGCGAAGGAGCAGTGTCAGGCCTTTCCATCATTGCGACCGTAAGGATCCACGCGCTGCATAAGATGCCGGAGCCCTTCGCCATCCGTCACCAGCCCTATCGCGATCGGCACTGGGAGGTTAGCCCTGTGGGGGGGTCCCTTCGCCGATGAAACCAGTTGACAGACAAAATCAAGTTCCAATTCTAAGGGCCTCCACGGGACATTCGGTCCATCTGCCGTCCAGGCCTGTTTCCTGGGCTGGTCACGCTTCAATGCGCACAGGCGCGGTCCTCACCGTTCCGCGTGGGTGACGCAGCCTGAGTCATGCCAGCCCTCTGATCTCAGACCTGCTCCATAAATGGGAGCCAATAATGCAGCTGCTGGTATTGGAGCTGGCCAGCTACGCTGGGCAGCAGTCGGCGCCAAGCACACGCCGCTGCACAATTCAGCACCTGCGTCAAATTACTAGCGAGTTCTGATCTCACCAGTACCAGCCCAAAGCGCGCCCTCGCCGTTCATACTGCGCCGCAGCACCCGTGCGCACGAAAGCCTAGTCGCCCGCCCCCGCCGCCGCCGCAGCAGATTCTATCTCCCCGTGCGCCTCGAAGTACGCCACCAGCCGCGCGAGGAATGGCTCCCGCGCCGCCGTCTCGCTGTCGGCCACCACGGCGCAGTGCCGGCGCGCGCGCGTGACCGCGACGTTCATGCGCCGCCGGTCGGACAGGAAGCCGACGCCCCCTGACTCGCTGCTCCGCACCATTGAGATTACTACGGCCTCCTTCTCGCGCCCCTGGAAGCCATCCACCGTGGAAATCTCCAGCGCGGGCCCGACCCTGTTGGGGCGCAGCTCTTTCAACAGCGCCACCTGGGCGGCGGGGGCAGCAGAGCGAGCGCACCAAGGGGCGAACCGGGGCGGGCCGGCCGGCGTTGGCTGGTGGGCTGTTGCGGGCTGGGGATGGGCAGGGGACGGGGGGTGAGCGAGGCAGGCAGGGGCCAGCGGCGGGTCGCCGAGCCGCGGCTGCGTCGCGAGCCGGGCCGGGCGGTGTCATTCGCAGCGCGGGCTCGCCACGTGGGGGCGGCGCCACTCAGCCGTGCGGCCTAACACCTGGGCTGACGCCAGGGCTGCACACTCACACGAGGGCTCGAGCGCCCTCCACAGGTCGTCGCCTTGGCCCAACTCCAGCGTCACACACACACACACACACACACACACACACACACACACACACACACACACACACACACACACACACACACGCACGCGCACGCGCGCACACACACACACAC